TTATGATTTTTTTACAAGGCACGTGACAATGCGATACGTGCGACGAATTCGTGATGACTCATTTATAAATCTGCTGTTGTCAACAAAAAGAAGCGCTGAGGACTTCCTGCGCGTTTCCTCCAAAATAAAAGTTGAGAAAAAGCAAGAACTCCATCAACATTCATAAATGTTAGTATTGTAATTTTACTGTTGTTCTGTAAAATAAAATAAAAAGTAAGACAATAATAATGATAATAATTTCAACAGCTCTGTTAATACATTTATTATAACATTCACACATAGTGTTCAAATTGGGATCTGTAATATTTTTTAAAAGAAGGCTCTTCTGCTCAGCAAGGCTTTACTATTTGTATAGTAAAAAACATGTTCGGTATTCGGCTTTCGGCCCAGTGTTTCATTTTGTTCGATTTCGGCTTCGGCCAAGAATTTTCATTTCAGTGCATCCCTAGTCGCAATTGTGAGATACAAAGAGTCTTGCAATGTCTTGCAATTCTGACTTTATAACACAATTGTGAGTTTATATCGCACAGTTCTGACTTTATTTCTCAGAATTGCAAGTTTGTCTTGCAATTCTGATTTTATGACTACGAAAAAAGACAGAATTGCGAGATGTAAAGTCGCAATTGTCTCATCGCATTTGCGAGAATAAATATCAGAATTGTGAAATAAAAAGTCTCACTTACCTTTTTTTTTCAGTGGCAGAAATGGGCTTCCATAAATATCTGCCAATTAATTCAAAGAGAAAACAAGTTTATTTTCTTAGCCCATTTGTAGATATTTTTCTTGTTTTCAGCAAAAACACGTGATACATTTTTCAGAAAATAAGACTTCCCATAAAAATTAAGCAAGTTTTTGCTGAAAGCGAGACAAAATATCTGCCAGTGGAGTAAGATTAGACTTGATTTCCGATTAATTTATGTTTTTATTTTTCTTGTTTTAATCATAAACTCACTTTATTTTGCATCAGAAGTAAATGTATGTTAATATTTGTAAGTTTAGATATTTGTACTGGAAAACAAGACAAAAATAACAAGGAAGAAAATCTTTTTTTAAATGTGACACTGTTTCAAATATTGAATATTTGGGATTTGAAGCCAGCAGTTATATATAGTGGGAAGACATTGTTTGAATATTAAGATCGAAATGTAGTTGCAAGTATGTGAACACAGATGCACAAGACAATTAATTGAGTGTATGATGCATTTTAATTTTATGGAAAGTTTGAAAATCAAGCAGAAGCCTAGCTAGAACTGCTTCTCTGAATTTCTAATTGGTCTACATTAGATGCCATTTTTAGTCACAAGGCAGAGCATTACTTTTGCAAACCCTTGCATTTTTCCTCTATATCCTTGTGATGTGTTTAAATGGTGCTTTAAGTTGTGTTTAAATGCATGCAACATAAACTCTAGTTTGTAATGCAATGTATCTGTATTTGCGTACTTGTATGAAGTGTATTTAAAGTCTAAGGGCCAGTTTTACTAACAGTTTGCATCAGCGCAAACCGTCTTTTGGCGTTAAAATGGTACTGTCAGATTTTACTAAAGACGCGCACTGACGAATTAGCGCTGAAAAGGCGTGGACACAGTCATTTTTGCGCCTGACCTTATTGAATATGCATTTCTAGAAGTTTCCCATTCAGACGCAAAATATATGGGAGGAGAGTATTCAAATTAATCACGCAACGAGATTTACTAATGTTTTGCGTTCGCCAAATTACTGCCATTTGCGCTATTATTTAACGCCCCAAAAAAGCATGTCTTAAACTATTTTGCTCTTGAAATGGATGCAATTTGTTGCTAGGAGGAGGCACCACAGAGAACAGAGAGCGTCCACACGTATTAATTTATTTGGAAAGAACACATTATCCGAACATATCGTTTGCCAAGCCATGTTATTTTTAATTTGCTTCAGGAAATAAAAGACGACTTGGAACCCTCATCTAGGAGTCACGCAATACCAGGTCTATCAAAACTGTTGCAACCCTTCATTTTTTGGCCTCCGGTTCTTTTCAACGTACTGTAACTTACTTATTTCTTTATTGTTTACTCGCGACTAAGCTAATTTGCACTGTGCTTGGTATATTGCGTTGGTCGATATGTAAATGAGATGTTGCATCTGTGTTCTTTAATTTGCGCGTTGTTAGTAAATCACCCGTAGAAATTTCCACGCCCATCGGCGCTGTTTTGGAATTGTGCTCTCACGCTAATTTGCCCTGTTTAGTAAAACTGGCCATAAGTATCTTAAGTTATGAATGCTTTTTTTTTTTCATATTTACTGTGTGAATAAATAAAACACCTCTTGTTTCTCAATGAAAAGGTACTGCAACATCCCCACGCAATTACCATTTTTGAGGATTTTGTCTATTGGACCGACAGATACATCAACCGCGTGATCCGGGCCAACAAGTGGCACGGACAGAACCAGACAGTGATGCTGTATAATCTGCCCCAGCCCATGGGTCTGGTGGCTCTTCATCCTGCCCGACAGCCTGCAGGTACAACACTGATCACAAACCTGAAATACAGCCAGATCAACTAGCTGCTACCTGAGGAGAAAAGTGTTATTGTTAGGATTAAATACAGCAAATTTAACAAAAACAAAAGCATTTCTGGAAGTCATCATGATAAGAAAAAAGGTTTGAAAAGTGCTGAATAATAAGAGCTTTTTGTCACATGCTTAATTGCACTGAATGTGCACTTGTAGTGTACTTCAAATCTCAAAAGTATATTTTTTGAAAACTATACTTGCAGATTATTTTTATGAGATATGTTATGACTGTTTCCTTACACACTTAAAATATGCAGTCTGTAATAATGTCAAATTAGAAGTTTACTTTAAAATACATGTGTATTTTACTTTTAAATACACAGTCTTTATGTTTTAGTAACCTGTTGTCAAGTTTTGAAGTACACTTATTTTGATGTGTTGACTAACATACTCAATCATAATTTTAACTGTGTTAAAGTTAATATATGTTAAATTTATTAAATTGCAACTTCATCATTACAAATATACTGTATGACATACGGGTTTCAATAGAAATTGCATTTAAGTCTATTTTGGTTTACCATAAATGCTTGTCAGTACAATTCGCTGTACACTTTAGGATTATTAAAGACAGTATAAGTAATTTAGGCCTACTTAGGTGGGTCAAAAAAGCGCTCTGAAGTTCAGCTAATAGCATTTATTGTCAATTTAAACTAGAGTTAATTTTCATTTAACAGCAATTAACATGCACATAAGTGTCCAAAGACAATACATTCAGTTCACACTTAAGTGTATATATATATATATATATATATATATATATTTTTTTTTTTTTTTTAAGTATGCTGAAAAACAAACTAACTAAAAACGAACAATTGCTTTATGCCGAATTGCCGCTATTTGAAAGCGAAAGCTGTTTAAAAGCGAAGGAAAGCGAGGAAAAGAGGGAAAGCCCCTGCCCCCACGGTGATACCGGTATTACCGGTGTTGTCACACGTCGATTAACCGGTGGGAAAATTTCCTCACCATCACAACCCTAGAGTTGACTAACATAGTAAAACACATGTAAAGAACATTATCAGAATATACTGATTGTGTTCATAATAATTACAATATAAGCATAATATTTTACCTTTTTGTATGTCGATCTAAGAATAACATCCTTTAGAATAACATGCACCAGTGAACTGTACTGCATAAACCTATAAACATGTTATAAAAATGAAATATAGTCCTTCGTGTTGACTTCAAAGCTTTGATGTGTTCTTCCTGCAGGTTATAACCCCTGTGACCCCCGTTCGAGCCCCTGCACTCATATCTGCCTCCTGTCAGCGATCAGCCCCAGGTTCTATTCCTGTGCCTGTCCGTCTGGATGGACTCTCGCCGCTGACCAGTTCACATGCGCTAGAGGTACGAGATACATCAGCCAAATATTTGTGGCCGATGTGGATATCTAGAGAGCACAGTTTCTCATGGTGAAGGGGCCTTTCCCACAGAAAGCATTTTCACGCATCTCACGCATGACAACATGCCATTATAAAATCATGGCGCTCAAGTTAAAGTTAGTTGAACTTTTAAAAAACGACTCGGGAGCCACCCCCCCCTCCATTCCACTGCCTGTGTCTCACATTTTTCAAAGCAAAAAACTTTTTTAATTTTTAATTTTCTTAATTAACCCAAAAATGAAAATTACCCCATGATTTACTCACCCTCAAGCCATCCTAGGTGTATATGACATTCTTCTTTTTTTGACAATACATACCATTTCAAACGAACCTGTTAGGTGATGAAAACAGTTTGTGTTTATAATGATTACAATGTAAGGATAATATTTGACAGTTTTGTATGTCAATCCAAGAATAACATCTTTTACTGTAGAATAGCATGCACCAATGAATTGTACAGTACACAATAAAACCAGAAACATGGTATTAAAAGGAAAGCAGGGGCAATACTGATTTCATGTTGACTTCAAAGTTTTGATGTGTTTTTTCCTGCAGGTTATAACCCCTGTGACCCCCGTTCGAGCCTCTGCACTCACATCTGTCTCCTGTCAGCGATCGGCCCCAGGTTCTACTCCTGTGCCTGTCCGTCTGGATGGACTCTCGCCGCTGACCTTGCGCCTCCACGTTTGTCACTTCGGCGTTTGTCACTGCGTTTGCCTACGTGCTACGTCATCCGCTGGACGCCATTCTCTCGTGAACGAGCGTACGACAGTTAGCGGAAGCTGGAGATTAAAGTTTATAAAGTTGTAAATATGGATTTTTTAGGGCTGCAACTAACGACTTTTTTTTAATTTTTCGATTAATCGAATTAAAAATATATATATATATTTTATTTTATTGACAAAAACGCTATTCCACATTCTGCCTAATGTCCTTCAAACAAACGTGCCAGCTGAATTCTATGAAAACATACAGTGGTTAACAAATTATTAGACCACCTGCCATAATAAAGAGAAAACAAAACTCATTTTAGGAATTTTAGGAATCTGTCAAAAAATGGTTTAAATCAAAAAATGTTATTGTCATTTATTGGGCAAATAAACTTAGACAACTAAATAGTATTTATTCACATAACAAAAAATGGCCTCCTATGCCCTTAAAAACAGCTTGCATTCTTGCTGGCATTGTTTATGTACTTTTTGACTGTAATTGGGTATCTGAAAAAAAACACTATAAAGCTCTCTGCCTTTCTTTCATAGATAACAGCAATAATTATATTATAGCATTAGAAGTAGCCTACTACTGTTACTAAAGAGTTTACGCATATTGGAGGACTAACCAATACAGAAAGCTAAAAAATGATTTTGGTAATCACCAGTACTGTTAGTTTAGAGCAGCAGTGGCACAAACAATAATTTGTTAAAAACCTTACATAAATCTGAATATAGTTTAAATCTCTGCATTAAAAATTAAAATAATAATAAAGATGATAAAGACGAATAAAATCACAAACTCAGTGGTAACCAATAGGTAAGAGTAATGTTCTGCAGGAACACGTTCACTTTGACCACAGTCACGTCTTAGTGTCATTTCTTTATCCGGTTAAAGGAGGTTATGAAGCGTCTGATATTTATATTCAGAAAATTACACGCTGTTATCCCCTTACAGTTCCTACTCTCATTAAATACTCGCAATGCATGTTGACCTTTAAACCTTAATTTAACTTTCAACAACAGATATTTCAGCACGATAAATGTTTTTGCGCTGATTATTAATTGTCTATGTTTTCCGTCTGTCTGACGCACGCGCGTCCGCTGCTCATTCAGTAAAGATTTCAACTTAACGCAGACTGTCAGGACGGACCTTTATGCAAAAATTGAAATGCTCACATGAATTTGTGACATTTATACATAAGAATATGACCGTAAACTAAAAGTTTTTGCGCTGAGGAGTGAGGACGCACACGCATCATCTGCCAAAGCACCAGGGCAAGCCATTACACTGATGCATTAGCTTAAAGCTTAAAATAAAGAATTCTCATGTTTTGGGCAGCTTGGATCACGTAACTCTCCCGCAGCATCTCATTCCATTTCCTCCACAATTTTTAGATGCATTTTGTCCATAGAAATGCGTAATTCAGGGCTGTAATTTGACGCAACCGGCTGAAGTTGGACGTGCACTGAGGGCAGACCCGACTAATCGATAATGAGAATCGTTGTCGATGATTTTCATAATCGATAATAATCGATTTTATCGATTAGTTCAGCGGTTCTCAATTCCAGTCCTCGCGTACCCCCGCTCTGCATCTTTTGCATGTCTCTCTTTGTTAACACACCTGATTTAGATCATCTCGTTAGAAGTGAGCTCCGTGCATGAACTGTGTTCCGATTGACATGGTCCCTACACAGTGGCCATTGCTCCCTACTCCCTGAGCAGGGGAAATCCGTTGAAGTTTACTTCACTTCGGAATATTCATTTACAGATTTGTGCTGCGCCACTGCCTGCAGCGTCTTCACACACATACGAAACTTACTAGAGAAGCGTGAAGTGGGACATAATATACCTCTGTAAATAAATACAATTTAAATTCACGTCTCGCACACTTAAATGCCCTTTGTCTGGAACATATACGCTCCCTTCAAACTGGAATCATGGCGGAATATCCGGTAATGTCCACTTCGCAGGGCACTTACAGTCAAATATAACAAACGTCTGAAGCAATAAGAGAAACATACAAAATGTGCAGAGCGGGGGTACGCGAGGACTGGAATTGAGAACCGCTGGAATAGTTGTTGCAGCCCTAGATATTTTTCTTACACAAACGCTGCAAATGCTTCAGAAGGCCATTATTATCCCCCTGGAGCCGTGTGGACTTCTTTGATAATGGATTGGTTAAATTTTTTGGACTTCAAATTTTGGGCTACCCTCCACTGTCATTATAAAGCATGGATTAGCCTGGACATTATTTAATATAACTACGATTGTATTCGTCTGAAAGAAGAATGTCATATACGCCTAGGATGGCTTGAGGGTGAGTAAATCATGGGGTAATTTTCATTTTTGGGTGAACTAACCCTTTA